TTCCACTAATGCAAAAACCATTACCAGCCATTTCTATTCATTGTGATTGCAGGTCAGCGATTGACAAATGCCATCAAGAGAATGCAAATGTGAAGATGAATCGACACTTGAAAGTGCGACATAAATCCTTGAGATATAAGATGAAAAACCATATAATAGCCTTAGATTTTGTAAGATCAGAGAAAAATCTTGCAGATCACTTAACTAAAGGCTTATCTAGGGCAGTGGTCCTAGAATCATCGAGGGGGATGGGGTTAAGCCCATAAGAAAAATCACTGCAGTGGCAACCCAACCTCGCAGAGGTTCAATGGGTAGAAACAAACTGAATGAGTGATTAATTGTGAGGAGCACTGAATTCATTTGCTCCCATCCCTAGGGTGATCAGTGCTCATAAAAAGCAAGTGAAAGGTTGAGTCTAACTCTTAATGAATCCAAGACCCATGAGGCAGGATGCTTACTTGCTCGCATCCTTATTAGGATTCACCTATATGTGTGTAGTTGTGAGGCCGCGACTATGGGATCAGGGCTGCTCCCTAGTAACACACATGAAAGATACCTGCGCAAGGCCGATAATAGCGCAACCCGTTTAGAATTCTTCAAAACTGTACTATGTGTGCTTTCTGTAGAAATCCGATAAATGAGACTGGTTCAAGGCGAAGTCCACCAAGCTCTCACGGATCTATACAACTGTCACTAAGTGAAGGTTCAAACCGAAAGGTACCTCCACCTATTACATAGTATAAGGGAACCAGCAGTCTTATTTATTTGGTTTTAAGTTATTTTTTTACTGTTATTTCTGAATTATTTTAAGTTTTAAGTTATGTGGGGGATTGTTGGAGTTATAATAAAGATAACTTAAAACTTGGGTTTGTAGAGGAAAAGAGGAAAACTTTAGTCCCACATTGGAAAAGAGATGGGAAGATAGGCTCTTTATAAGCCTTCCCTTTCTCTCCTATGCCTAGAAGAAAACAAAGGTTATGCTCCACACCACACACGCGCGCGCCGGCCGGGCCGGGCTCGGGCTCGGGTTCGGGTCGGGTCAGGTGGCGCGCGCACACGACCTGCGGACACGAATGCAGCTCCGGACTGAGGGGCTCTTAATTTGCTACATTTTTATTTTTGAATAATTAAAATGTAATATTTATTTTTGAACAATTAACATGTGATAAACATTTTAACGGTTAGGATTAAATATTTTGTAACTGTTATAATTAAAATACCGCGGATTTATGGATTTAAATGACAAAAAACAGCTAACGTTAATACATTAATGAGTGAGTAATTAAAACGTGTTAATTACGAGATTATGAGTAACGACTGTTTTTCCCTATAAAAGGATCTAAAATTACGAGATTATGAGTAACGACTGTTTTTCCCTATAAAAGGATCTAAAATCCGAAGAGTTTTACACAGCGAAATACAACAAGCTCTTCTTCTCCTTCTCTGTTCTTGAATTTACTTACTGTTACGATTTGCTGGTTCCCTGAAAGTGGTGAAGAATTCGCAAAACCTTCTTGAAGCTCGTGCCGACGAGAAGGAGGTCGCCTGACCGAGGGTCGTCGTATCTCCGAGATCTATTGTCGCGTAGCCCTGTACGAGAGGGGACAATTAGTTTCTTGGGACAGTGCTTTGCACGCTTCGATCATCAGGCCGTATTTCTAACTCTGTTTCTTTTTTATTTGATATATTTTATATATGTGTTATAATAGTGATTATCTGTTAATTATTAAATTGCTTAAACTGATTTTCGTTATTGTCTAAACAGCTAATATTCCTAACATTATATACCCCAATGTCAAATTTTATTTTGTCATCATTTCTATATGTGCCTATGCTACTAAATATTATTAATGCAGTTAGTCAAAAATGGGTGTAACCCTAGAACTCAATTACAAACAGATTGACTAGCCATTCAGACTAGTTCATTTGAGGCATTTATTTTACACCTTTTTTAGAGAATAGGTCATAGGTTCATAGCCTAGTACACCCAGACCTCTTGCACACTGCAAAGAGGTCTTTTCCACTATACTATAGTGGTACTTGCAGATTCTGTTGTTTTCAAGTTTTCCATGTAAAACATGTATAATTTCAATGAATATCTTGTGGGATACGCCTTATTTCCTTTAGCTTGTATTCTTGACGTAAAATTATTCTTAACTGCCTATTATTTGGTGGGTTCTCTGAGTTAGTCATAGTGACCTAAACCTACTGTCAAGGTTTTAAATATCGGTTATCACAGATTTATCGGATGGTCAAAATCCATATCGCATAGCGGATATCGGGGATATGTTGGGGATAAGTAGTATTTATTGGAGTGATATTACTAGATAGTGTATATACAAACTATAATATTCTAAAATATAATCTAGCCATACTTAATGAAATATAAACATACCAAAATGTACATAATCATTTTTGGGATCACTAACTAATGGTAGAAACTTGCTTCTTGATTGCACGATGAAACCATTCAAGTGCATAGTTAGTAAAAATGGAATAACATACAAGCAAAGAACAAGATAACATAAAGAATGAAGAATCATCAACATAATTATTGTGTAATCACGAGATTATAAACTAATTTACTAAGTTGATATTTAATAGTTATGAGCCATGTCAATATTCATAAACAAACATAAGCTAATCACCAAACAATCAAGTTCCAACAAATAGTTTATAATTCTTAAATGTCCAAAGAGCAAACCCAAACCCAAACCAAAGGCCGATAATTCCGATATTTTGAGCCGACAGTATCGGCCGATAACTCACTTTATCGTCGCATTATTGCCGATAAACATAAAAAAACGATAACCGATTTAAACTTAAACTTATCATAGCAGAAGACTCCCAAAACCGATAAATCGCCGACAATATATTTAAAACACTGCCTACTTCCAACTCTTGAATGTTTATAAATCTTATTGTTAATTAGTAAGACCGAAGGAAACACTGTCAAACGAACCTAGAAAAGCAATGATTTTACTTTAATGACAAAACAAACTAGTAAGATGTCTGTCCGGGAGAAGCAGCTCGTTTCCAGGGTATTATGCTTTTCACATCCTGATTCCTCTACTATATTTATTTCTAAACCTTGAAAATTTACTGATAAGTTAATGTTTTTTAAGAAATATTAAAGCTAGCTGCAATGGAACCTCGATGAGCATTGATTTTATTTGATGAATAATAAGAGTAGCATGTTGGTTCACGATGGAGAAGTGGCTAGCTACTTTCATGAGGCACTGGTTTGTCAAATATTTGTTCCTACTAACTAATGAAGGCGACCTCGTCTTGAAAAATATCAAAGCAAGAGATGGAAGAAAAAAGTGGTTAAAGATATCTTTTAATATTAGAAATTTTATTTTTAAGATATATTTTCTTTTATCTTTGTTTATAAATAGAAAAATTATTAGTTAGGACATTTAATTGATTTAGGATCTGTTTAGAATCGAATTGTTTGGAAAGGTTTTATTTTAGTATGATTAGAATTGTTATTTATTATGGATTAGTTTCTTAGGTGCTCTTTAGCAAAGTGTTAAGCCGGGGGTTAACAAGAGTTAAGCCCTTCTTAACATACCAAACACAAAATTTCAGAGTTGTCACTTGAGTTAACCCGTCTTTATTTGCCAAAGACAAGATTTAAAAGAGGGTTAAGATAACCCTTAGACAGGATCAGATCATTGTTTAGAAAAACCCGTTATAGTAACTTGTTGTGTTGTGTTATGTAACTTACCAGGCCTTAATGTACGTAACTTAATGAAATAACTTAACACATAACACCTCTATGTTATTACAATACAATATGCGTTATTTGAATATGACATGCGTTATTTGAATATGACATGCGTTATTTCAATGTAACCAGTGCTTATTCAATATGAGTTTTAAAGACTTAAGAGTATTTTATTTCTTAAAACTTGAATTATTTAAGTAATTTCCTTTGAATACTTTGTTAAGCCTTCATGTCGTGTTTCGGTGACATTATTATGTGATAGTGAAATTATGTAGTGATTGTGAAATTATGTATATGACCACTAAAATGAATGTAATTATGAACGAGCTATATCTTTATGATTGTATATTTGAGTATTCGTTTGTGATACTTCCTAGTAAGTCTATATAGCTTGTATTAAATTAAAGAAATTTTTATAAATATTTTTGTATTATGATATTTTGTTCCTAATTCTTAAATTTATTGTTAACAACTTTCATATTTTTTAAAAATTAAGCAATAAGAAAATATTTTGTTCTAATTGTGATGTTATGTTTAAAATTTTTGATGATTCTAACTATTAAAGTCATTATGAAAATAATTTGTATTTATAAAATATGCACATCATCAATAAAAACAACTAACGTTAAATAAAAAAAACTACGTTATGCATTATGTTTTTCTCCTTTAACCCTTAATAGGAGGAAGAGGGTTAATTTAAGCGTTATCGTTATTTTCAACATCATGAAAAGGCGTTAACCCCTCAACATAAATAGTTTACTAATCCATGTCTTTGGATGGGTTACTAGATATTAGGTAACTCTTTTTGTTTATAAAAAGAAGTTATAAAAATTGTTCCTAAACACTAAAAAAATCAGAAGGTTTAAAAATGAATTCCTTACCTAATGGGCTAATCAATTTAATCCGTAGGCTAACAAATGGATCAACTAGATTAACACTTCTTAATTCCTCTTCCTTAGCCTTCGACAAATTGGGGCCCCATTAATCACTTCTCTACTTACATCAAGGACTAGTTTTTTATAATAAAGTTAAGATGAATATTTTATGAAAAAAAATTATGGTTTGCTTGGATTATGTGATGCAATCTTGAACGTGAAGCCTAGGTTTCCAATGTGTGAAACCTTAATTGCCCTTTGATAATTGATGCATGCGTAAATTCATTGATCCAGGCGAGCGCCCATGATCTTAATTGTTTTCTCATTTTTTCCTTTTTTTCCCTTCCTGTTTTCTCTGTTTCCCATTGCTAACTCTATTTATAATGCATATGCAGGTCATGGTGGCATCGGCATTTACTGGGAGTAATAATAGGAAGTTTAGCTCTTGTGCTGCTCAGTTTTTCTGTTTTCACTGTTTGGTTCTTCTTTAGACGCAAATCCGGGGAGCTTGGTTCATACAGCCATGTGAATTCTGCTCATCCAGAACGAGAGCTCCAGCCTTTGTAGATAAAAGATCAGTCACTTGCAGCCTTGCCTTAAAAAGAGGGTAAAATGATAGTGAAATTGTAAATTGTCACTAGTCCTGTTTAAATTTTCACAATTTTAGGGCGGACTATTCTTTTTAAAGATTATTATCAAGTAGTTTATTTTTATTACTATAATTTGAGGTGTTCTGGGCTTAAGTTTGGGATGCCATATGTTCGTTTCATCCAAAAACAATCAATACAGAAATCATGTACAATAAGGCTTAGTAAGGAAAATAAATATTGTAATTTTAGTAGTCTGTATTTTTTTTCTTCCTCCGGTTGGTTTTGGATTTTTAGTCTCTTCTCTTGAAGAATATAATTCTCGGGTCTGCATGAACTTTTCTTGAATATATGGGTTCTAGGATCTGGATCCTCCAATTAAGTGGTAATTAGAGTGTCTAATTACTGCAATCATTATTATACCTTCCAAATTTAAGAGACGAGATTAGATGATATACGAGTTCACTATATTCTGTGTGTTATTGATCTAGTTTTGGCTGCATCCTAGGCTCCCAAAAGCGACGATTTTGGTCTTATTGGATGCTTGAAATAAAAGATGAGAATCACTTATTATTAAGGTGTTACTTGTTTGGGATTGTTGAAGAACTTGAACAAATTTTTATTTTATTTTTTAGTTTTGACTTTTATCTATTTGAAATTGAGATTTGGACTTTGAAATATGGTGTAATTGAATATTGCAGGAATAATTTTGGATTCGATTCTGAGTACATATAGCGATCTAAATCCAAGGTTGCACTCCATGAACTTCAATTTTTATTGATAGATTTTGAAATCGGGAGATTTCTTTTCTGATTCAGCCTGGTTTCCTCATCTGGATCATGTTTGTCTTTTAATTCTTCCTGTTGTCACAAGAGAATTGAAGGATTGTATAGAATGTGAAAACCCTAATTCATTATGAGATCTCTTGGGCTTTATATGGATCCCTACAAAACTTACAAATAAGTCCCTAACTAATACTAATATGTCAACACTCCTCCTCAAGATGGGCGAAAGATATCTACTAAGCCCATCTTGTCACATCCTCTAATCATATCTACTGAGCTAAGTCCTTTAGTCAGACAATCTGCTGCCTGGTCTTTAGTCGAAACATGACTTAGCTCCAGTAGTCCACTATCCAACTTCTCTTTGATGAAGAACCTGTCGATCTCGATGTGTTTGGTTCTATCATGCTGCACTAGGTTGTTGGCGATACTGATGGCTGACTTGTTGTCACACCACAACTTCATCTTAGCTCCTTGATCCAGCTTCAGCTCCACCAACATACTCTTCAACCATAGCAACTCGGCAACTCCTAAGGCCATAGCTCTATACTCTGCCTCAGCTGTCGATCTAGCCACCACCGACTACTTCTTGCTCTTCCACGAGACTAAGTTGCCTCCTATAAAAATGCAGTATCCTGAGGTGGACCTCCTGTCATCAGCACAGCTAGCCTAATCAGAGTCACAATAGCCCTCAATGCTCATGTGCTCATTCTTCCTGAAGATTAGCCCTTTTCCGGGGGCATTCTTCAAATACCTTAGAATCTGGTACACTGCGTCCATATGACCCTTCCTTGGATCATGCATGTAGCGACTCACCACGCTCACTGCAAAAGAGATATCAGGACGTGTGTGACACAGATAGATCAACCTGCCCACCAGCCTTTGGTATCTGTCACGATCACCTGGTTCTCCAGCTTCAGCACCCAGCTTAAACTTCTGGTCGATCGGTGTAGTTGCAGGTTTGCATCCTAACATTTCTGTTTCTTTGAGAAGATCCAGTGCATACTTTCTCTGGGATAGGACGATCCCCTCCGCTCCTCGAGCTATCTCTATTCCAAGAAAGTATCGAAGCAAGCCAAGATCTTTCACCTCGAATTCCTTACCCAGTCTCACTTTGAGTTGGGCAATCTCCTTCTCATCATCCCCTGTAATAATCATATCATCCACATATACTGCAAGCAAGGTGATGTGACCTCCACTTCTTCGAAAGAACACTGTATGGTCGGCGCTGATCTGCTGGTACCCCATACCAATCATAGCCCTCCTGAATCTATCAAACCAAGCACGAGGAGACTGCTTTAGCCCATATAGAGACTTCTTCAATCTGCAGACCTTTCCCACTATCTGATCTGTACCGAATCCTGGTGGTATCTCCATGTATACCTCTTCCACTAGATCTCTATGAAGAAATGCATTCTTCACATCTAGTTGGTGTAGCTTCCATCCACCATTTATTGCTAGAGAGATTAAGGTCCGAACAGTGCTCATCTTTGCCACCGGTGCAAAGGTCTCGTCATAATCAATGCCATATGTCTGACTATACCCTTTTGCCACCAGACGAGCCTTGTAGCGCTCAACTTGTCCATCTGGATTCTACTTCACAGTGAAGACCCACTTGCATCTAACTGCTCTCTTCCCTTCTGGTAGTTTACTAGCTCCCAAGTGCGGTTCTTCTCTAGAGCTCCTAACTCCTCGTGCATAGCCGCTTTCCACTTTGGGTCCTTCTTAGCAACCTGCCAATTATTAGGTACAGTAACAGAGTCCAATGATGCAATGAATGCCCCATGTGCAGGGTGGATGTTAGAATATGATATAAATTAGGCAAGATCCCAACCATATCTATCGGGAGGATTTCCCTCATTACTACGAGTAGTCCTCCGTACTGATATTGGTGTGGGAGGAGTAGAGAGAGGAATGTTATCAGTAGGGAGAGGAATGTTATCAGTAGGAATGTTATCACCTTGGGATGAAACTGGTGGTGGTGTAGGTGTTTCAGGAGTCGGGGTAGGCATTGGCAAGAGACTTAGCAGCACTAGTGGCACTGTAGGTACTGTTCCTACAATTTGCTTGCCCTTCCTACTATAAGTTAGTAGCTCCCCTTGAATAGTGGGTCGAACACCTCTTGTCTCATTTTCCTTTTCTTCGTCATTCTCCTGCTCCTCCTCAACCAATTCTCCCTCCCAAGGAATCGATACAGAAATGGATTTCTCCACATTGTTCACCGTTCTCTCACCATTCTCCTCCTCTTGCCTCATACTTCTAGTATTGGGCGAGTTACCAGCGGTTGAAGTTACCTTTTGGGTGTAATATGGCTCGAGTTCTCGAAAGTGCACATCCATGATCACAAACAATCTTTTCTCCATCGGGCTCCAGCAAACATATCCCTTCTGAGTAGCAGAATATCCCACAAAGATGCACTTCACAGCTCTAGGGGCAAGCTTCCCGACAGATGGCCTGTTGTCCTTTACAAAGCACACACAGCCAAACACTTTGAGTGGAAGGATCCCACCATTATCTCCCTTCAATATCTCACACGGAGACTTCCAATCCAGCACTCTCGAGGGCATTCTGTTGATCAACGCTGCTGCGGTCAATACTGCTTGTCCCCATAATGTTTCTGGGACATTCATAGAGATCATCATGCTTCTAGCAACCTCTAAAAGATGTCTGTTCTTCCTTTCCGCTACCCCATTCTGAGCTGGTGTGTATGGACAGGTTGTCTGGTGATGTATTCCTTGAGCTGACAAATATTCTTCAAAGGCTTTGTTGGTAAATTCTGTCCCATTATCTGACCTCAATACTTTCACCACTGCTCCGTATTGAGTCTGAATAGTCCTATGAAAATTTTGGAAGCACCCAAACACATCACTCTTATTCTTCAACAGGTATAACCAAGTAACACGAGAGAAGCAATCAATAAATGTAACAAAATACTTGTATCCATTCATAGAACTTGTGGAACAAGGCCCCCAAACATCTGAATGTACCAAGTCAAATGCATGAGAACTTCTATGACCAGAACTAACATAAGAGCTTCTAGTAAGCTTTCCAAACTCACATGCATCACACACAAGTTTCTGTTTATTTGCTTTCTCAAATAAAGAAGGATACAATCTACCTAAAACACTAAAGGATGAGTGTCCCAAACGCTGGTGATGAAGCATTAACTCATTTTCAGCACTCATTTTATATCCTACTCCTGCTTCCTCTATGACTGACACCAATGCTGAATCCAGCCCTTCACGATCCAGATACCACAGTCCACTACGCCATGTTCCAGTCCCAAGTCTTCGCCCTGTCCCCTTCTCCTGGAAAATCACCTTGGGAATATCAAAAGAAACAATACTTTTAGTTGGAGGATGATAGAACTAATGGACAAAAGATTGACTGGAAAGGAAGGAGCATGCAAAACATTGGACAAAGTTACAGAACCAGTACAATCGACTGTACCCTTACCAACCACCGGCTGAAATGTACCATCAGCTGTTTGAATACTATCAGGCGATGCTAAGTGAGTATATGATGAGAACTCACTAGTATTACCTGTCACATGACGAGACGCACCGTAGTCGACTATCCACTCTGATGATCTGTCGGGAGACATAGAAGCAAGAGCATGTATGTCATTAGTACCTTTGGTCGGATGAGCATAGGTAGCAGTGTTGCCTCTGGCGAAGAACAAAGTGGATGCCTCCGCAGTCCCACTCCTCAAATTTCCATCCCCTACTGTTTGCTGTTTTTTCCTGAGTATCGTGAGAAGAGCACGATCCTCCTCTGTAAAGACCACCTCAGCTTCTTCTTCTTCTGCTACCGTCAGATTCGCCCGATTTCCTGCTCCTCTTCCACCTCGTCGACCCCCACGGCCACGACCACGACCTCCGAACTGTCCACATCCACCCGAATCTCCTTCTTTGGATAGCTTGGTGCAAGCATGCCTTAGATGACCCACCGCACCGCAATTATAGCACTGTCGAGTCTCTCCCCTAGATCCAGTACTGCTAGAGGCTGCCAGTGCTGACTTCACCACAGGAAGTCCACCTGTCCCCGCCTGCAGCCGAATGCGAGTCTCCTCCTGGATCATAGCAGAGATAGCCTCCTCAAGCGTGGGAATCTTCGGCTGAGCTAGCAGCAATGCGATTCGCTGAGCGAACTCTGATGTCAATCCATTGAGAAACACCATAGTCCTCTCCTGTAGAAAGGCCTCCCACTCTTTACACCCCGGGTCCTTGCAGCTAGCCCGAGGGGAAAAATGATCATAGTCCAGCCACAAGCGCTCCAGCTCTGTAGCATATTCCTGTACAGTCCTCTCTCCCTGGACTGTGGCGTCGATCTCTCCTTTAATCTGGAACACCCTCAGGTTATTCCCCACTCCATCATATGTCCTCCTCAACTTCTCCCAGACGTCCTTCACCTTCTCAATGCCATCCACCGTGGCGGCGATTGTCGGGACCAACGAGTTAAGAAGCCATATGTACACCA